CGTCTGAGCTGAATTTCTTAGAGGATTGATTGATTAATTTGGGACAGAGAGTTGAGGGCTGAGGAGTGTGCAAGTCACTTGAGCACTTCGAACGCATTCGTTTATTTATTATCGAGTTTTTGGAAAAAAATTGCAATTTTTCAATTATTTCATAGGAAATGAAACCAATTCAATATCACTTGAAGCGTAACCGATGATAGGAACAGATTGCTTATCATATAATAAATAGTAACTAGTACAGTGTGCTTGAATTTGTTTTGGTTATGTAATGCTTTCTCTTTAAATTTTTGCATTGGTATAATAACAAATTACGTTTTGAGAACTCCTTCGATCTCCATGTAATTTTTTCGAGTGTATCATGTTGAAAGCTTTCATTGTCAATTGTACAAAAATTATGATTGAATAAAATAATTTGGTCATTCGAATTTGTTTATTTCGAAACAAAAGTCCATGTTCAAACATTAATTTAGATAAGTTAGAAGAAAGTAGAATGAAGAAAGAATTACACACATCATTGAAACGAGATTATCACAATGCTCCAATAAAGCCCGCAGCACTGAACAGTATTAATAGTTGAAGAAATCGATTTTATCACAAATATCACACATGTGATCAATCAATCATTCTCACCAAACGGGGGATTAAAGAGTGAAACCGTAATAAAGATATGAAACTGAATATTTCATGAAATGTTCTCCCAATGCTGAGCGTTTTCGCTCGAGTGGGAACTAACACCCTCATTCGAAAGACTAACTCAGTCAAGGAATTGGACCAAACCAAAAAAGTCAGAAGTTATCGCCAGAATCGCTCAGAAAAACTTCCAAAGAGCACAGATTATCTTCTATAAAACTGCGAATGACAGCGCAAAAGTCCAAAATGTACACAACTATGAACAGCGGAGCAATTCATCATAACCGATATTCGATAGGATATTACGAAAATGAACTGGTGTGAAACAAGCACAAATCGAAAATTGGTCACAGAGCAATCAAACAATTTGCTCGCCGATCCGTTCGTCAAGACTGAAATGAATTCTGGGAAAGTCGTCGACCATTTTTGGTCGTGGCGGTTGAGGAGTAGCGGTTTGAGTGGAACGTGACATTGCCGTCACGATCTCATCACAATTCTTACATCGTCGCAATTCAACACAACTGAAATTTGCACTGTTTGATTGGATGCAATCGAACTTATTCAATTCAATTCATTCAACAACAAAAACATGAACATATCAAAATCAGAAAGCGATTTGCTGAACAAAACACAAATGAATCAATTGGAGTTACATAATTTATAATTGAAAACGAGAAAATTATGAAATTGAGAGCAATTTTGCATGATTTTGGCTAATTTTTGGTAAGCGGAATGAAATTATTTGCTGATCAAATGCGACACTTACGAATAATCTTCGTCAGCATCGATCTTGTGCACGAATTCTGAAGTGAAACTTGCTGAAGTCTTCAGTGCGGTTAAGGTCTCCTGAAAAACGATTAACTCTAGGATTACATATCAATTGCAAACAACACTAATTGAAAGTATTGAATGAAAAGAAGACGAAACAAACAGACAATATGAATGGTGAACGCTCAAGAAAAGATTTCGAGTTCAAACCCTTACCGTCTCACTTCGTCCAGATATCGAAGAATCAGCGGCCGTCAGTGGTGTGGGATCTTCGGGTTGTGTCTCAGAGTCTTGTTCAGCTTCTTCCACATAGACGGGCATCGGTGGAAACGTCATCATACTACTGCTTACATGAACCGTATCGCTGTTCTTCAACAAAAGCAAAGCATAGTTGAGGTGGATTTCCCATGCTGAACAATGTGCTTCATTCTTGGAACTCAGATATGACTGATAAGTTTTCAACGTTTCGACGACACTCACACTCAGTTAGCTGCTTAATGTCTCATAAACACAAATGTGTGACTGTGAGATAGGCATAAAAGGGTCTCAACGGTAAAGTCTTGAAGGAGACCACGTTCTGTTCAAAGCAATCGACTCAAACCCTTTCGTCATTTCGAATAGTTTCTTTCGAAAGGTGGTTTGATAAACGAATGAGCGATTATTCTTTCAAGAGAGACACCTGCTCAGTTCCTTTTTCATCACTGAAAAGTCCTTTGGGCGCATCTTTCGACTGAACGTAATGTGACGGTTGACACTGCAGTAGATGAACGGCCAATATACAGTCTTTCTTATAACGAGCCTAAATGATACCCAATGTGGCCCTTTAGTTATTCGTATGTAGCATTTGGGAAAGAGCACAAATAAGAATCAAGGTGCAGTCTTGAGATGAATGTTAAAGTCGAGTGTTGAAGCTAGAATCAGTTCAGCGCCAAGTTCTCGGAAGTTGCATTACTTTAAAAATAAGTAATTTCAAAATGATTACACATTCTCGTTCCA